CAACTCCTCTTCCTTCCCTTCTGCCCCCCCCCCCCCCAATGGCGTTCAGTGTCGAGGGGAATTGACATAATGAAAAAAATAATGTCCAGGGGGTTGATTGACGTCTGGTTTAGCCCCTTCTTAGTGACACAGGGGGCGTTTGGACTCTCTGCTGTCAAGCACGTGTAGTGGTCAGAGGTAGAAGTGATGGTGGAGGAGGGCTGCAGGCTGGGAAGGATTATTTTTATTAAATTCAAGGTTTGACCGTTTCCCCTGCCACCCATTTCCAAAGGAAATCTGGCTGGACTCTGATTTTAGCTTTTACACTTGCGCTTAAGAAATTTACATCCTTGCGTTGTGACGTTATTTAGGATGACGCCAGCTGAACGCGGTGTTGCTTCAAAGCCACCGTTCTCGCTTTGTTGTGTAGTGAAGATCTGGAACTGCTCGTGTAGGAACTTCTGTCATTTAGCATAGATTATATTAATCAGCTTTATGAAAAGTTTGAAAGGCAAGGAGCCCCGTTGGTTGTTAGCCTCCTTCATGTGAAATACTGCCTATGGAACAGTTGTTCCGAGGTGGAATCGGCCCAGGAGTTTGCAGCCACAGTTCCCGTGCGGAGCTGGCTCGCTGCTCTCCGCGTTCCCTCTCTCGCGTCGTCCATCAGCTCGTGCTTTTGGCCCGGCCATTTCAGCAGGGCTGCGGGAGAGCGAGCATCCCTGGCTTATCGGGTCGAGCACGCAGCGGGCAAAAACTAATGTAGGGTTTGGTGGCACTCCGGGGGTGCGAGTGTGGTTGTAGTCAAAGCTGCTCTGCTAAGCTAGCGCTTCTTTATCTCTGTTCCCAATTCCCCTCTCTTCCGCCTGCGTCCCGCTCGTCAGAACTGCTTATTTTATTGATCACAACAAGATGTTGTTTGTTAGCAAAAGGACTGAGTCAACCTTTGGGAGAACAAGCTGAATTCTGTGTGCAGAGCTGCGCGGAATAACGAGGCTGCGAGGAGCCTGGAGATGCGTTTCGGCGATGTAACCCGAGCAAAGGTTCAGGGCTCTGTCCCCAGTTAGTTTTGTAGCGGGGATGGTTAAAAAACAGGAGCTTTTCCTGATGAGTGTTCAGTGGGTTGGATCTGGAGTTGAATTCACGACCTTTTAGTATTTGTTAAAATATTGGAAGCCTTGTAGCTATCACAATGTGATCTGCACATTATTTTTCCTCTCAAGAAGATTAGCTATTATCAGTGTTTATTTTAAAAATTAAATTTGAAGTTGTGCAGATGTATGCTGGCTCATGAAAACGGAAGGAAAAAAAACCCATGGTAAAAAGTGCTTTCTTTTACCTTTGTTGGAATTTAGACTGCTCTGATTAGAGCTTAAGCCTAACAAAGGCTGTGCTTAGTACAAACAAATGCGTGTCATACTAGTCATCAATATCTGGCAACCTTACGTGCTTAATATTTATAATGAACTCTGCTTGTGTGGTCTCTGTTAGAGAGAATCTTCATCTTCTTGATTGTTCAAGAGAATATATTCTTTTTGCCAGATTAATAGACTAGTGTATTTAAAATTCTATCATAAACTTGATTTTTCTTTTTCTTACCAACAACGTGTTGCCCTGGATTTTTAATTCTGTCCTTGGTTTGCCTGGTGCCGGGATCCCGGGGTACGGAGCAGGCGCCCGGGTGGGGGGGTCATGCTCAGGTGGCTGTGGGTCCCTTGGCTGAGCCCTCCCGGGAGGCGGGCAGGAGAGCGGTGCTGGTGACCGAGATCCGAGTTGTTGGCTCTCAGCGGACAGGTACCGTGGTGACCGGTAACCCGCAGACTGGCACAGCGTGGTGGCAGAAGGACAAAATCGGGGAAGACTGAAGGAGCGGGGCCTCGGTCAGGAGGTCGCTGGGGCCCTCGGCGAGGCTTGCCAGTGTACGTACAGCCGTCTGATGGTGGTCTGGCGGTTCAGGTCGCTTCCAAGTTACCACCAGTGCATCTTCCCACGCCGGTGTGGCCCGAAGGCTGTTGAAGGAGCGTGGCTCCTTCGGTTCCGGTGAGACGCTCTTAGGGAGTGTTCAGGCTCGTAGATCTGAGTTGGAGCTTTCTTTTCTACTCTGTCGAGACTTCTGCGTTTCAACAGGCAGTGCTGTCTGGTGGCCTGCTCCTAAATTTTGGAACTTTCCCAAGATCTAATCACTTAGTCCAGAATCTCGAAGGTGTCTTCTTGCTCAGTTCCCATAGAAAATAAAGGTTTGTGGTTCTGTCCACGTGTGGGCCTCCAGTCTTTGCGTCTTTCTCCTGAGAGTGAAAATGCTCATTTAGTGGTCAAGATTGAGTATTAAGAAGAAGAACTTGGAGACTGTAGGGCAGAGAGAACATTATTTACTGAGCTGGGATCTGGTTGCCTTCTTTGTTACTCCTGCATCCAGTAACCTCTCAAAAATGCCCTCTTCGAAGGTCTGCTGGAGCGCAGGGCAGCCTGGTGCTTTGCTGCCAGGCCCAGCAGAGGCGAGCGACCAGCTGAAGCAGTGCAGGACCCCCTCAATGTTCGTCCTGCGACAGATGGAGTTCATGCCCTGGGAGCCATTTGCACAGTTTATGCGCAAAGCTGATAATTTTCAAATGCCAGAGGACAGGAGGTGGCTAGAACCTGGGGAGAGGGCGGCTGAGCTTTCTTGAGCTGCAGGAGCCTGAGAAGGTAACTCCCTTTGGAAACAGTTGGAAGCTTCGGGGTTTTTCCAAGCCGGTCTGGCTGGGGTGGTGGGTGTTCTTGCCCCCTCTGGCTGGGGTCAGGGCTTTGCCGTAGGGTGCAGCCCACTCCAAGCCAGCAGATCACTGTGCAAGATGGGTGACCTTCAGCCCATTCTCGGAACGCCCCGTGGAATTAGTGATGAGAAACTGTTTGGAAAATAAAGCTAACAAAATCCTAGAGTTAGAACTCTTAGTAAAAATCTTTTTTATATATCTCTTCTCATACCCTAAAAAATGGCTGAGGCTGTTTGCCAGGGAAGGCAGAGCACTGCGAGGAGCTGATTTAAGCTGTCCCGGGTGGGGAGCTGTGGCTCCTTGCCACGATCCGCTGGCTGCCCGTTCCTGCCGCCGTGTTCTGAGTGTTCAGCTGCGCTAGCACAATTGTCCGTCTGTCCGTGCTGTCAGGCGGCTGAAATGGTGCGGGGCAG